TACTCATGGAGTGAAAATCAATCAAGCTATATGCCATGGTCCCAAAGTCTCGGAATTCACTTCTATTACATGCATGCTGCACGAGATACTATAAACCATGCATTAAAAGACGCGAACAATAATGAGACTATGATATGCTGCAATTGGGGAAAAGTGCCAAAAAAGTCCTAAACCTTTTGCATTAGTGCCAATTTAGTCCTAAACCTTTTTTTGGTGCCAATTCAGTCCTAAACCTTTTGCATTTGTGCCAATTTAGTCTTAAACCTTTTTTTGGTGCCAATTAAGTCCTAAACCTTTTAAATTGGTGCCAATTTAGTCCTAAACCTTTTATTTTTGTGCCAATTTAGTCCTTCGGTCAATTTTGACCGAATTTGCCGACGTGGACGCTTGTCGGCCATCGGCCAGCGTCGACGTGGACAACTTTAATAATATTTTAATATTTTTTGAATTTTTATTTTTTTCCTTTTTTTCTTTTTTTTTCCACTTTTTTTTTGGTCCCCCTCTCCTTCCTTCTAGCCGCCGCGTCCGGCGATCCGCTGCAGGCCGGCGAGCTCTACCTCGCCGGCCACCGGCGAGGGTGGCGGCCTCGCCCGGGCGAGGGCTAGCCTCGCCCGACCATGGCGAGGCTCGAGCCCTCGCCGCGGCCTCCGCGAGGGCTCGAGCCTCGCCATGGTCGGGCGAGGCCCGACCTCGCCGAATCGGCGAGGTCGAGCCTCGCCCGCGACCTCGCCGGATCCGGCGAGGTCGGGCCTCGCCCGACCATGGCGAGGCTCGAACCCTCGCCGGAGGCCGCGGCGAGGCCCGACCTCGCCGGATCCGGCGAGGTCGAGCTCGCCATGGTCGGGCGAGCGCGACCTCGCCCGATCTCGGCGAGGTCGAGCCTCGCCCGACCAAGGCGAGGCATACCCTCGCCGGGCGAGGCCGCCGCCCTCGCCAGTGGCCGGCGAGGTCGAGCTCGCCGGCCTCTGGCCGGTTGCTGAACCGGTGACCAGCCAGAGGAAGGAAGGGGGGACCCAAAAAAAAAGTGGAAAAAGGAAAAAAAATAAAAATTCAAAAAAATATTAAAATATTATTAAAGTTGTCCACGTCGGCGCCGGTGACCGGCCGCCGGCCGGCAGGCGTCCACGTCGGCAAATTCCGATCAAAATTGACCGGAAGGACTAAATTGACACAAAAACAAAAGGTTTAGGACTGAATTGGCACCAATTAAAAAGGTTTAGGACTTAATTGGCACCAAAAAAAGGTTTAGGACTAAATTGGCACAAATGCAAAAGGTTTAAGACTGAATTGACACCAAAAAAAGGTTTAGGACTAAATTGGCACTAATGCAAAAGGTTTAGGACTTTTTTGGCACTTTTCCCGCTGCAATTGTACGCCTCAAAATTTCGCCGTAGACTTCAAAGGGATGGCTTCAAATAGCGGCAAATAGATATCTCACGAAACTTCCTTTATCCAAGTAAACGATTTCCATGATAGAGGTCGCCAATCTTGATAATAAACCTAGCTGCAAGTCATTGAATGAGAGCCTAAACCCTAATATACTTAACCTTCATGCCACTCGACACATGTTCACGAGTTTGACCGCACAATTTATATCAAGTCTCCAGCTTTGCAAGACACCCATTAGCCGCCATTAATCCATTGTTAATGTCTTTCTGATTGATTCCAGTGGTATTTCCCCGTGAATTTGTTCCATTTCATAATATAAACAATGTTCAGGCCCAGATCGTGTGATAGAATATATTACGTGAGTTCGTTCTAATCATTGACGAAAATCCCAGGAAATGAATAACTCTTTGTACCATCGCTGCAGATTTTTGGGGCATTGTTCCATGTGCTTATGCATCGAGCCTATCGCCGCACCAACTTGTCTGGTCGCTCGATCTATCTTTGAACATATTCATGTTAATTTTGTTATGTACTACAATCGGGTACCTCGGTCCGCAAAGCAAGTTCCTCGAGATGAAACCACCATGAGATAAGATAACTTATAATCAAGTTCTCCCTTCTTTAATAAAGGTTTGCTTGTAGAGCTTGTAAAAGTTTTCCTGTTACGTTATGCACACGCTCTTAATTTGAACATACTCAAGATGAATAAAGGTATCGTAGTACATTATCATGGCGGCGAACATTCCTTAACTCTGCTTTCAATAAGATGTACAGGTGTGGACATAACTTGTGTATGTATATGAATAAAATCTGACTTACATCAGATGTCCGGATGCATGTACAATGATTATGTAATGTATATGTCACTGATTCTTGAGCAATTGTTTGAATAGTTGTCCGGCCATTCCACGTGGCACAGCCAACGCTGACGTGGAAATTTGTTAATAATATTTTAATATTTTCTTAGATTTGTTATTATTTTTATGGTCTTTTTTATTTTTTATTTTTTTTCCTTTGTTCTACCCCTTTTGTTGGTGACTGGCCATGGGCGGGCGGGCTGGCCTTACCTGGGTCAGGGTCGCTGTCGCTGCCACAAGTGAGGCCTGGTCGAGCGAGGACGAGCCCGGGCAAGGGTTAGCCTCGCCCAGGCCAGATCTGGCGAGGGGAGCCCTCGCCCATGCCCGACTAGGCCTCACTTGTGGCGGGCGATGGCGATCCTCGCTTAGGCAAGGCTAGCCCACCCGGCCATCGCCTATGGCCAATGGCAGATCACTGAAAAAGGAAGAAGAAAGAAAAAAAGCAAAAATAAAAATAAAAATCCAAAAAAAATATTAAAATATTATTAATAATTGTCCATGTCAGCGCTAGCCGTGACACGTAAAATGGCTGGCATCCACGTCAGCGAATTCCGGCCAAAATTGGCTGGATGGACTCAACTGGTAAATTCGTAAAAGATTTAGGACTCAATTTATAAAATTGAAAAATTTAAGATTGAAAGGGCAAAAGTGTAAAGTTTAAGACTTTTTGGACAATTTTCCCCGACCCTAATCGCGTTCCCACCACCGCAAGAACGAACTTTTCACACAAGAGCCGAAGTGATAAAGGTTGCGAAAGCGAAGCTTAGTCATAAAGCAAGTTTAGAAAGTGGGATTAGGTCAAATGCGATCCCAGGGAGCGTTTCGAGCGGAAGCAACAAACGCCCATAAAGCAATACCTTTGTTTAGTTCCCCACTTAATAACTTTCTTCAATTTTTTTTTAATCTTTTCCCTCTTATTATTATTGATTTTTCTTTTTGTAAATTTGTATTGGGCTTTCTTTCTACTATTATGTTCTTTTTTTTTTCATTTGAATTAATCGGGAGGCTTTCTTTCTAACTTTTGGGCGCCGATTCCTTAGCGTGATCCAAGGGCGCCAATCGCGCCTTCATCTGCAAATTATCATATTTGACCTAACTGGAGATTAATCAAAACACAAACACACAAAAAAAAGGGGAACATCATAATTTTATAATAACTTTGACCAAAGTGGAGTTGAAAAATCAGCCACGAACTTCCTTACCAAAAAAAAATCAGCCACGAACTTTCAAAAAGTAAGACGCTAATCTGCCGGTTTTTCTGTTTTAAGTCTCTCGTACCTAAAAAGAGGAATACAATTTCTCTATTTGATAGGAAAAATTAGGCAAAATTCGGTGCTCGAACTCTTTTCCCGCACTGGTCGGGTTAAACCTAAGCACGACCACGAAGATGAACTCATGCCCGAGGCCTTGTCGTTGTTCTGTCAGGAGTGCAGACAGCCAAAAGCCGCTTAGGAGTACGATGTGTGGATTTAATATTCCATGTCGCACTTAGTAAAATTAACATCGTATTTGATGCCCTTTTCCGGTTGAAGCTCATGTTTGTTTGCTGATTCTATGAAGTTAACGACATAATTCCAAGGTTAGATAGATGTCTATCATCCTAAAGTGGAGTTCTGTATAATCATGCAAAGGCGAAGAAAATAACTTATGTGACCCGGTCATTGCATTATTTTTCCTGCCTATGTTAAATGAACAAAGCCGAAAATACGAACAAAATCATCTAAACTCATTGATTTCCTTTCAGATAAGTATAGTTTTCCATGTAGTGAATGTGATATATTGAGTTAGATTGTTCGATCCGGGTTAGATTTATATCCATTTACTTCTCACTGTTCAATTGCGATGTCTTAGAACACGGAGGAGAGAAGATACATAAGTTAGGACTCTTTATTTATTATACTTTATATGAGAAGTTTCGTAACCTTAAATTGTGACTACATATCTCGAGGGATATTGCTCAGCAAAGTTATACAAATCTGTCGATTGAAAACACAGGATCTTTCGTTCGAGACAAGTATTTTTAACAACTGATGGTATCTTTGGGGTTTCCTTTCTCGCAAGTGACTTTCTAAGGTGTTTAATCCTTGATTACTTAACTCGTAAGACGTCGGCCGATGTATTATGCTTAAAAAAAAAACCAAATACCAGGTTCTCAAGTTCGAGTTCTCCTAAAAGTCTCTCGGCTAGTCTTGGTGTAGATGAACTTCCTTTGAGCGGGCAATCATGAATGCGAAATTTTGTTCGACGATGCTCGGAAACTAGCGTGCCATGTCGCCCTTCTTTAGCAACGAAAACGACTCAAACATGGGGAACATAATAGTAGAAAAAAACATATAGAAGACATGGGACATGCACAATGTCTGAAAATGAAAGATGGTCAAAAAGACGAACGACAAAACGAAGGAAATGACTTTGTAAATGAGGATACAAACACGAGGGACAACTCCCCGTTTTCTAAGGCATCTCATTGCGGCTCAAAAACGTAGGATTAACGGATGTCGTTGCAAGATTGGTGGACTGACGTCCAAATCATTCCAAAATCCCCCCCAAAGAAAGTGCAAAGACAACAAACTAAAGTTTGAAATTAGGGAGCATCATGAGCAACTCCCCTTAATTTACTACGCGGTCAACACTCAATGAGACCCTCAACGAAAAAGCCTAATATTGCGCTTGGCGATTGGCCAGCCTCTCTCTCTCGCTCTATATAATGACTTGCCCTATCCAAATCAAAGACCATATGAGCTAGGACAAATCGGAGAGGCTAGCTAACATTTGCACTTTAGCAAGTAACATTCTTCACAGATGGAGACGAGGGTTACTTTGTGGCTATTATTGTTGTTGTGCTCTGTTATGTGCTTTGGCACTAGTGTTGTACAAGGCAACCCGAATTACAAAGATGCTCTTGCGAAGTCCATATTGTTCTTCCAAGGCCAGAGGTCGGGGAGGCTCCCCACCAACCAGCTGCTAAGTTGGAGGTCCACCTCTGGCCTTTCAGATGGTGCCCTTGCCCATGTAAGTATACAGTCTTTTGTGTTATGTATTGTTATGTATCATCAATCTTTTTCCATTGTGGGCAAAGAATGCTCAAATTTTGGTATCTTCTATTCCAATGGAGGTAGCTTCAAGGGCATCAAAGCAATTTCAACATGTTTTTAAATGTATGGCTCAAAAGGAAAACATACATTCAACTGGATCTTTCTGCCAGCCTCTTTGCATGCTTGAAAAGTTTTAGGCAATGCACATTTATCGATCATGTATGATGTTCTTTTCTTATTTTTGTGGGATCAAAGCATCCTCTGTGATAATGTTGGTGGTTGTGATTGTAATGATGTGAATTACATGCATGGACAGTGACAAAATGTGCGTCAATCACGTTATGTTGTCCAATTGCCATCACAACTTTATCCCCCAAAAGAACACACGAAAAGCATATTAGATCCTATAAACAAAATAAATTTTTTGCATGTGCAATAAGTTTTTCATTTTTTTTTGCCAGGTGGATTTGACAGGAGGATACTATGATGCTGGAGACAATGTGAAGTTCAACTTCCCCATGGCCTACACCACCACCATGCTCTCTTGGAGCACCCTCGAGTACGGCAAGCGCATGGGGGCTCAGCTCCCCAACGCAAGAGCCGCGATCCGCTGGGCCACGGACTACCTCCTCAAGTGCGCGACGGCGACCCCCGGAAAGCTCTACGTGGGAGTCGGCGACCCCAACGTGGACCACAAGTGCTGGGAGCGGCCGGAGGACATGGACACTGTCCGGTCCGTTTACTCAGTCTCCCCCAGCAACCCGGGCTCCGATGTTGCAGGCGAGACTGCAGCCGCCCTCGCCGCTGCCTCCTTGGTCTTCCGGGTGGCCGACCCCAAGTACTCGAAGTTGTTGCTCAAGACGGCGAAGCAGGTGATGCAGTTCGCTATACAATACCGCGGTGCATACAGTGATTCCCTCGGTTCCGCCGTTTGCCCATTTTACTGTTCGTACTCGGGATATGAGGTATAAATTTTCTTTTAATGATTGATTATGTTTGTTGGTTTCACCGTATGCATTCTGTCTTTGGCTAATTGGATTGTCAATCTGAAGAATTTGGTCAATTGTCATAAATTATCAGGATGAACTGCTGTGGGGAGCTGCATGGCTTTATAGAGCAACGAATGATGTGTACTATGCCAATTTCTTGAAATCTTTGGGGGATAATGATGCCACGGACATTTTCAGCTGGGACAACAAGCTCGCCGGCGCTCGAGTTCTTCTTTCGAGGGTATATCCCGCCCCAATAAATAAAAAGTATTGACAAACGTCCAGAAGATTTTCAACAAAACATCTTATATAACTATAATGACGTACAGGACAGTTTTCGACAATAAATTAGGACACACTTAACCCTTGATTAAGCTTCGTAACAACCTCGTAACTGTCTTTCTTCAGAATGCGTTGTTGAACAAAGACGGTAGCTATGACCAGTTCAGACAACAAGCGGAAGATTTCATGTGCAGGATTCTCCCCAATTCTCCTTCTTCCACCACACAGTACACTCCAGGTATGTACTTTTTCTTTTATCCCACATGGCAATCAGTAGTTGAAAGATCATATTACAAGTTGCAAGCGATTTAGAAACTTGATCATTGCGTGCTTACGGCCGAAGTGCAGGTGGGCTCATGTTCAAGCTGAGCGAAAGCAATCTCCAGTACGTCACGTCCATAACGTTCCTGCTTGCAACCTACTCTAAGTACATGGCCTCAGCAAAACACACCTTCAGTTGCGGCAACATGCTCATCACCCCTAGCACTTTAAAGTACCTTGCCAAGAAGCAGGTCTCTCAAACTCCAACTCTCTCGCACTTATCTCTCTCTTTCTCTCTCCCTCTCTCTCAACCCCAGAAATTGCAGGTTGACTACATTCTGGGGGTGAACCCTCTGAAGATGTCATACATGGTGGGATATGGAACCACATTCCCCAGGAGAATTCACCACAGAGGATCATCCCTGCCTTCCCTGGTGAGCCACCCGCAGGCGATAGGCTGTCAAGGTGGCTTCCAACCATTCTACTACACATCAAGCCCGAACCCCAACATCCTCACCGGAGCCATCGTCGGGGGTCCAGACCAGAACGATGCTTTCTCAGATGACCGGACCGACTACAGCCACTCCGAGCCTGCAACGTACATCAACGGGGCCATCGTTGGACCTCTGGCGTACTTTGCAGCATCATACTCAACTTGAATGAAAGAATTTGCATCTCAATGCTTACAAAGTTCATAAACTTTGAATAGGCCAGCGTTGACGATTATGAACTACCTAGCTAGGAGGGATCTATACTGCCAACCAAGTGTAAATGAAGATCCCTTGGTCTTAGCTTGATTCACTAATCTGAAGTTAATAATCAGTGTGTCTTGTTCTGTTTTCTTAATTTCATAATTACAGGATTCGTTTGACATATTCCATCAAAAAATATTAAAAAACACCGCAAACCATCCTCTGGCCAAACAAGAATAACATAAAAGAAAATTCAAGACTGCAGAGTTTATTTTGACTTGCTTGAATTTTTGTTCCCAATCTTGATCAGTACTATTATTTCGAGGATATTTACCGACTACTGAACCCGAGAAAGTCCAATATAGTGACTGTGATAGAAAAGATGATGCAGATCATAGTTCAGCCAATCTACAAGTGGTGTAAAAGAAGACTACATCTCCAAACAAACATCATTCATTCTTGATAGATCATTTCCCCAGAAAATAAAAAATTGAAAGTAAGAAGCAGGAGATTTGTTTTCAATTAGAACATTAATACTTTAACCACTGCAAACTATCTCTTTCCTGCTCTTGAAACATATTCTAGCAGCATCCTTTCACTCCGAACACATCAAAATGCCTTCTCAAGTCACGCACTTGACAATTTTTCACCCCAAAAAAAAGAAAAAGAAAGCCTGAGTTTATTCACAGGCTATCAAAAGAAAATATCAACAAAAAACAGCATAGAAGCAGAGGCAAGAACTGTACTACTTTACTACAAGCCGAAAGCAACCACAAGCAACCAAATGAATATCCAATGCCTAAACAAGGAAATTCAACCTTCACAAATAAAAACTAACTAAAATACTTATACAACCAAATGAACTACTTATGAACAAGTCTAGCTCTAGCTGCTAAAGCAAATGCCACCAAGACTTACCATCTATGCTAATTTACAAGGATGACTAACCACCCGCACTACCCCACTTTCAATCAAGAGAACGACCAAAACTACAACACAAATTAATTGACTACCAAGCTACACAAATTTGAGAAGAATGGTGATGCATGATGTGAAACTAGCTAGCTTGGCAATTAATAGGAGGGATAAGACACCGGGTTTCTTGTATCATAACGGCGTGACCTACTGTGGTTAATATTTTCCAGGGTTGCCCCAAAAACTCTTCGACTGTACTCATAACTACTCGAACGAGATCCAAAGCCATTAAGTTCTTCTGTCATACCAGTAGGAACGGAAGCTGAACCAAAAGAATGAATAGACCATTAATATAAATGGAAATGACAAGTTCATGCATGCTCAAATACAATACCCACAGAGATAAAGAAAAAAATGTACATTACCATGAGAATGGTTATCTGAAAATGCTGAAGCTCTGCCAGGAGTAGCGGAATTTTGAGGAATGTCAACACTGTCACTTTCTGGACGGTTGGGTCTTAGATTCTGGGAGGAATGTGCTGCAGAAGTATGTGAGGACGACTTGTCCTGCCCAGATATCTGCACATCAAATTTTCAATGCCATTATAAAAAAGCTAAAGCGCAGTACTATCGGGTATACAGTAAAAGTCAATCTATCAACTGGTTATGATCATTTGAAAAGATTGCTAGTGATCATAATGATCCCCAACCCCATCCATGGTCATCTGACCAACTAGAAGTGTTAATGACATTAGAAAACAAGACTAGCCCCACTTGAAAGCTTGAGCACAGGGAATATGGCAAACATACATACATCAGAAACAAGGTAAAGCCATAAGAGTAATATTAATCATCTGAAAGTGTTTTTTGGCAATGCAAAATCCTTGGAAAATCACCGAAAGATGATTCAGCATGCAGCAGCAGGAGAAAGGACAAACGACATATGAGACAATGGGAACATACCGCAAATTTAAGTGTTCGATTGTAGAGAGTAACGAGGCCCGAGAACAGCCTAACAGCATAGTTGGCTATTTCCTCTGTCTCATACTCTGCAAAAGCATAACCTTTGGGCTTCTCTGTTTCCTTATCACGAGGAACATACAGTTCTACTACCCTTCCTGCCTGTATCAGAATGTCGTACAAGACTCGTTCACTCACCCTCTCATCCAAGTTGCCTGTGCAAGATGGATATTATGTTAGCAGCATACAGCTATACCGCTAATAAGAAGAGTCAACACTGGCAACACTTAAAAAAAAAAAAAAAAAAAAAAAAAAAAAAAAAAAAAAAACCCCCCCCCTCAATATCCTTTGTATCAATACAGCTACACCAATTACAGTACACATCACATAATAGATAGATTAAACTGATTGCCCGGTCTTACCATGTCAATCCTAATGAATGAAAGTCCACAGGTTTTCTTTAATTTTTGTCAATTTCGAAGCATCAAGAATCAATTTTCATAATCAAGCAAACCAGCCCAAAGACGAAAGAAGAAGCTGGGTGATCATCAATTGCAAGATTCTCATCAGGGAAATCATCAGACAAAAACCCAATAGGAAATCCGATCCTCAAATCCCAGACCCAAAATCAAACACTTGCACTGCAGCAGCACCCAAAAGAGAAAAAAAAAATCCCCGATTTGCCCTAAGCCCATGAACACGACGTTTACAGATAAAACCCTAAACACTCGTAAAAGAACGACGCGACACCAAACGCTCGAGAGAACTCTCGCTTCAAGAATTTGCAACTTTCCCCCTCGACCAAAGGAAGAAGAAATCAATCGCTCGACGAAAGAAGGGAAAGAGAAAAGTGAAGAAGCGATGTGACTGCGGGGGGGAGAGAGAGAGAGAGAGAGCATACTGACCAACATAAACGGTGCGATCTCTGTTCGCGGACATGATTGTCTTCTGGATCGTCGCCACAAGAAAGATTCACCGGATACTCTGTTCCCGTCTGGATTTAGGGAAGAAGAAGAGATGCGGGAATTGGATAAAGCAGCTGCTCATATACATATAGATGGTCGGTGCCGCCATGTGATTGGGTGTCCCTCCAAGAATTTTCAAAGTTCAAAATTGGGTAATTATTACAAAATATCTTATTCTTCTTTTTCTTTTTCTTCTTCAACTTCCTCTTGAAAGACTATATTATGATTAATATCACGAAAAATCTTAAACTGTTATATTTATGACAAATTTACTCTAAATTAATTTTTTAACTATAAAAAATCTCAAATTAATATACCCATGACATATTTACCCTTCGTTAGTTTCCGTTAAATTTTATCTTCAAATTTCTTAGTTGGATTACACGTGCGATTAAAAGGTGTACCAATTTAGGGGTTTACCTCTCCATTTGTCACAGGTTTACCAATTAATAGTTTTTTGTAATATTAATCCAATTTAGCGGAGGATAAATTTGTTACAAGTGTACTAGTTTAGGGTTTTTGATGATCAAAAAATTAGTTTTTAGTAAATTTATTATATGTGTACCAGTTTGTGTTATAGTATTAACCCAATATATTATAGTGTTGTTGAACCACTTGTTAAAGGTCATTAATTGTTTTTCGAGAGCCTTAAAGGGTCCGTCTGTTTGAAAAAGAACTGTTTCGATAAATTATTTTCCGACTTTCTGGTGTTTTGATGACAGAATACCAATCGATCTACAAACTGAAAAACGTCAAGCTTAAACGGGAAAAACAACTTCCTCTTCTTACAAATGTTGTAAATAAGTGACGATAACAAAGATAATAACTCTAAGAAAGCGATAACAAATTCAATAACAACCAAGCCAATATAAATATAATCCTAACAAGAAAAGATGATCAAATCACAAACCAAATATAGATTTGCTAAATGCTATAAAATCGGAAAAGAATTAAACATTAGGTGAGCTACGAATTATGGAATCTCCTTCAAGCAATTAGTTCTTAGTGCTTTGCAGATTTGAGAAAATTATGCCTCACAAGATGCAACACCTCAAACCTGTTTGTATTAGCATCTATATAAACATGATTCGGTCGAACACTTCTTGATACCGACACACCTCGAGAACAGACTTAAACACGTCTTCTTAAAGACAAAGAACTTCCTACAAAGTCTACTGAAGAAAACCACTATTAAATCTTCTACACACGAGCAAACTGAAGAGACGTCTCACTAATGTTGAGCCATTAATGACCTATAATTACAATAGCAAGTAGAAAATCACTTTTCTTAAATCATAAAACAAATGAAAACTAAACATTTCCTTTATCATGAAATTTTCTGTGAAACCAATGCACTCGAAGAGTCCATTTGTTTTGCGAAAGATAATGATTTGAAAAAATATTTTTAAAAAAATGATTGCTTGTATCGCTTACAAAAATGAATGAATGAAAAATATTTTCATCGTACACGAAAATTTTTAGACATAAATTATTGTTAATAATGATTCACTATTAACTATTTATTTAAGCGATATAAGCAATTAATTTTAAGAAAATATATTTTTAAATTTTTTTTATTTTATGAAATAAACAAAGTCAAGGTGAGCGAGTTTTGTTAAATGTGTTATTGGTCAATTTCGTAAATGAGCAGATATGCCTAGTCTCAACTAATGACCTTTCAATACTTGTTAGCAAGACCTTGAAATTGACTCTAGAAAGACTCCTTTTGACTTAACATATGATTCGTTGTCGAAAAATTCTGTCCTTTTGAAAAATATTCATCGAGAACGGCACCGAATGTTCAGTTAAAATTATGTAAATATCTAGAATATTGACAGTGAAAATCTTAACTTCATGTCAGTCTGTCACTTCAGTTTTCGTTTTCTTTGGATTTTTTTAAAATTTTAAAATGTCGTTGTTCTTTACATCAATCCTTATGCTAACTTCGTCAATTTTTCTCCAATGAAATATTTCACGTGACATTTATATTTATATTTATTTTATTTTTTTATAAGCGATACAAGTAATTATTTTACATAAAATATTTCCAAATCACTCATTTTTCGCGAAATGAACGCATCAAAAATGAAAAAATCGCAGTAAAGTGAGAGAATCGGAGCTTGTAAGCATGCTAGAGGGTAATCAAGGCAAGGTCCTCGCTTACTCACGGCGGACCTCACGACCCATGCAAGGGTCGCCATGGCCACCGCCGCCAGGCGAGGGTGCCTGTTGACGGACGTAGTAACACAATTAATTCGAAAGATGGCAATAAGTTCAAAGATTTCTCTCCCACGGAAACTATTTTCCCTCCCATGGGCAATTTTGCCTTCAATTTGGGGGAAAATGATTTCCTCTTTATGAAAAGAGGAAATCATTTTCCTCAAAACAATAAAGGATTTGAGGGTGAGGAAGGAAAATGTTTTCTCACGGAAAACATTTTCCGCCCCCAAACACCGGAAAAATATTTTTCCGCAAACGAACACAGCCTTAACATATGATTATCATTGTTGATATCCTAAACGTTCTGTTCCTTATTGAGCTGAGCATAGTAAAGCCAATACACGCATTGACTCGACCGTACGTACGTACGAAATACGTATATGGAGAGTTCTATGGATCCATTGACTCGAGTCTCGACCTAGTTCAGTGCCTCATTTACAGAATTCATCTAGTAATAATAATTTTTGAAATATGTTAATAAGCATGACAGTTAAATTAGGTAACTGGCAAACTGCTCAACCAATACTGGCTAGTAAATCAACAACTTGGATTTGAATACACCGATGTTTTACACTTCTGGGGATTTGCAATATCAAAGGTCCAAATCATGTATTACCACACACTACACATGCAAAATGAGATTAGATCGTCAAACAACTGAGGACCAGATACCTTCTTGAGGCAAACTTGCCAACAGTCAACGTCTCTCAATGGCAAGTGTCCGTTGACTTAAGGCCAAAAGATCAAAACAACAATTTCACCAACTTGGTATTGATGGATGTCTGTGTTGGAACTTTAACTATGTACCTCGGTCCAGAACGTATAAGACACTTTCCGTTGTTTTGAAGCTACAAATTTTACTACTGGAAGCATAGCTCCCGAGTTGACTTTGCCTGGATTCGCTCATTACTCGTAGCATCTCGATTTGTTTGTATGTCTGCTCGCCATTTTGTTGCCTCATCCGCATGCCTAGTGTCTTTCTGAACTTGACTTTCTAGCATTTGCAAGACCCCCGGATTAGAAGATGTCTGAGGCTTTTGGCTGGTCCCCCAAACCCCGGATGTAACTCAATTTCTTTGGACCGAGGACTTATTCAAACATTTCATCCTCATCAGCAGTAATATCACCATCCTACATGAGAGTTCTCCGAGATTAAGTTGATCCTACAAACGAAAACACGCATGGAGTCAAAACTAAAAACATGCATATATATAATAATGCAAGTCCTAGATATGGTAACAACTTTTATACTGCACAGAATGCATACATAGATGTATTTTTTCTAGTTGAATGAGATCAAGGCACTCAAAATTCTCCAAAGGCCCGGTCAAAACTTAAAAAAGGCTAAACATGCAATTATTAGATTAAAAAATAATACAATAAACATCAATAACGAGAAAAGAAAATGAATTCTCATTGTGCTCAGCTTCACGACCTAAAAAGTCGGATGATGTGCCCACCACACAAGTGCCACCAGATTATGAGTTCAGAAAGTGCAAAGGAGTGAACTTGAAGGATATTCATGTCACTTAAGACATCATATCTTACTGAAAAGTAGTTGAGCTCTTAAAAAGCTACTAATACGTGCTTAGAAGCTGTAGTATGATCATCTTCTAAGACTTTCAACATCCGGATTGAACATTCTAATTCAGGTGCTTCCATGTCCAAGGAGCTAAAATGGGGCTCGATGGAACATATATGTAATTAATCAACAGAAAGTGCTTTCTGCTTCACAAAATTCTTACCATGCTATGATGCTGAACAAATTAAATGCCACTCAGCCATATAATCTTGGAGGGGTTGCTCACATCCTCTCAAGAAGGGACTCTGATTATAGCCTCTTAATCCAATCTAATCGTGCAAACGAGTTACCAATAGTCATTGCAAGAGCAAACCCTGCTTTTGAAATGGTGGAATCGGTTTGAATCTCTCACAACTATCTCCCTGTTGAGAAGATCTGCGGCTATTTTCATGAAGTTGTGGCAATCAACACAAATACGGATATTTTTCATGATTTTAATAACTGTAGGCAAGCTACTTTCGTTCATTGTTGCAAATACCAAAGCCAACTTCTCACTGTGGTAATACAATTGCTCCTCTTTGTGCTCCTCTTCCAAGTCATGCAATGCCAAGCATGTTTCTGGCGTATAACCCAGCTCTTTTAGCTTCCCAATAAATACATTGAGCTTCGCATATATCTTGTCCCTCATTGGATGTCTCCATCCTCCAGACGCAAACTCATGGATCTGATTTCCTATCTCGATCCAGCTTAAACCTGGTTCTTTTTTCACTCTGGACCGATTCATTTCAGATCGTATTAGACCTGCTTCATCAAATCTTCCACCTGAACAACATATGTTTGACAGTTGCACATATGCCAAGGACTTACTAGGTTCTAACTCTTTCAGTTTAATAGCCGCTGTTTTTGCTAATTTTGCATTTCCATGTTTCCTGCATGCTCCCAGAAGTGCACTCCAGACCACTGAATCAGGTTGCATAGGCATTCTGTTTATCAGTTCCTGTGCCTCAAGAACACGCCCAGCTCTTCCAAGAATATCGACCATGCAAGCATAATGATCAAGCTGTGGAGCAACATCATAGTCCGTAGACATGGCATCGAATATGCTAATTCCATTTTCCACCAGTCCAGCATGGCTACATGCAGAGAGGAGAGCAACAAAAGTAGTGCTATCGGGTTGGAAGTTCATTCGTACAAAGAGCTGCAATGCCTCCTTACCTTGCCCGTGCAGAGCATAAGCTTTAAGCATTGAGCTCCAAGAAATCAAATCACGAGAATCCATCAGATCAAAGACTTGCTTAGATGAAGCCATGCAGCTACATCTTGCATAAGCATGGATTAGGGAGTTGGCAAGCACTGTATCCCCATCAAATCCAGATTTAATTACTCGACAATGCACTGACAAGGCATGTTTCTCGGTCATAAGACCAGCACATGCTTTGAGGACACTAGAAAACGTATACCAATCTGGAGAAATTCCCTCTCGAAGCAACTGGCGAAAGAGGAAGAAGGACTCTTCAGGTTCCCGTTCTGCCAATGCTGTTATGATGCCCGTCCAACAAATAACGTCTTTGTGAGAATTGGTCTCCAAAAAGAGCTTGTAGCAGTCAGCGGCATCCCCTCCAAGATCTGAATAAGCCTTCACCAGTGCGGTCGTCACTTCTACTTCCGAGGTAAAACCAGTTTTAACTGTGAGACAGTGTAACTGAAGACAACAATTGAGAGCAAATCCAACACTGGCATTGCTGCTTCCAGACAAGGAAGAAAAAATTCCAAGAAGTGTAGCACGATCAAACCCATATCCTCCTGTATGCATTTGGGCGAACAGATCGATAGCCAGTCTTCCAAGGCCACGGAGCTCAAACCCTGCAATCATTGAGTTCCAAGTGATCAGATTGCGAGACTCCATACTTCTAAACACAGTCCAAGCCTCATCTTTTTGCTCATCGAAACCACCTTGGCGGCCACTTGTCTTGCTATACATTGCAATGAGAGAATTCCCAACGTAAAGACACGCGTTCAAGGACATTTTCAGGGCAAGCGCATGTACCTGTCGGCCACGGTCACCGTCGCACTCCCGGCACGAACTGAGCACGCTGGCGAACGCAAACTCATTCGGGCGGTGGTGGGCCAACATGCCCGAGAACAGACTAAAACACTCGTCCCCGCGGCCATGCTGGGCATACCCAGAAACGAGAGCCGTCCAAGAAACATGGTTTCTGTGCGGCATATCATCGAACACCTTGCGGGCACCCTCTAGGTCCCCGCACTTGGCATACATATTGACCAGGTGGTTCGACACGAAGAGGTCCGGCGGCCCATTCTGGTTCAAAAGCATGTAACGATGCAAGGCCTCGCCTTGTTCCAGGCATCTGTGGCGGGCACAAGCGTGGAAAAGAGCGGCGAAGGCCTGGTCGTCAACGGGCGAAGCGAGGGCGTATAATCGATCCAGGACTTCCTGGAGCTGGGCTCGGGTGGAGACAACGCGCGCCCAGTCGAGGAGGGGAGTTGGGTATCGCGGAGTCAGCGACGCGAGCGAGGATAGCCTGCGAAGGTGGTGCGACCTTGTCGTCGTCGTCTGCATGGTGGTGAGGTGACATCACCGTCTGTAATGCTCGCAGATCACAACCTTCTCAGCTCGCTTCGCACGGCAATCTCCACCGTTCGTGAGCTCCATTGACCATCGAATTCGAGCACTTTCAGCAGCAGCGGCAGCAGCAGCTTCCGATTTTCCTCCGCAAGCTAAGAGCTTATGGCTGGGTTGGTTAGCACATGGTGGACGGTCCAACCCGGTTCGATGTCCAATTCGGCCCACTCCGGTTCAACTTCACGGTTTTGCACGGTTTTAGGCATTTACGTGAAGTCTGTGTTCGAGCTCGTTGCATGTTAATACGATGTGCAACCTGATCATAATAGCCATGACGATCCACGGTTCCCCAAAGCCCGTCCACGCAAAACGAGCTCGAAAAGGATTCACGGACAGGCTTTGGAATTTGGATAAGGCCCGTTTTGCTTTCGGCAACCTGAATTTAAGCTCGGATCGAATTTCACATTATTCAGCTCAATGTTTGGCAACGTCCTTTGGATGGAATAAAACCTAGATATGTTTGTATAAAATATCAGGATTCAAGGATGGGATAGGCTCGAATTCGATAAGTGAAATTAATTAAACAAAAACCCTTTTACAAGAGGAAAAAAAAAAGAATGAAGCTCGTGTTACTATTGAAGGCTTGAAACTTAATGTTCATTTGAGTCGCCATCAAAGCCGACGGTGGCACAACTCAGGACCGCCACACGGGGGTCACCCCTCTCCTCTCTTTCTCGTTATCTCGTGGCCTTAGATCTATAAATTAGGATCATGTGCGACCATCGCGGGGGTCACCGTCCTCAGGGACCACTCGCAATTGGTTGCACTCCCTAAGTGACATCGCCATGGCGCCTTGATCACTGTAGGACGCCGCCGCCACCCACAATGCCCAAACTTCATTTTCCTATCGCCCTCGACTTGCTATGGTGGCAACTAGAATTCTCAGATCCAGAATTTTCCAGATTATTTTTTTTTTCAAATCCTATTCTAAATATACCAAACACTTGATAAAAATAAATATATCCACATCTACAATTTGAGTAATTTTTTTTTTATTTCACCTTATCCTATTTTATTCTAATCCTATGCAAACGACTGAACCCTGGTACGAATGGCCTAACCAACAAGTATCTGCCAACCTTATCCTATTTTATTTTGAGTCCTGCTATGGAAACGTGCCTATTTTATCACAAACGACCACCAAAATAGAATTGGCAACCGGAATCTTTACAATAAAAAAAACATGGAGCGAAATTGAAAACTAATCTAGACAAAATTTTTAAAGATATTCAACGATATTTCTTCTTCCAGAAAGAAAATGAAACCAAGACTAATAATGGATCAATAGCAGATCGTAAAAGAACAGCCGCTGAAATTAGATCTGATTTGTTTAACTTATTTTAAGATTCTGCACAAGTTCCGATTTGAGAAGCAACCATTGCGAATGTAGTTGGATTTTGGTGAAGTAAAGTGATGGATTGTTACTTGGAATCCATCGTGAAAGATTTATGGGAAAATAACACAAACAACACATTAATTTTGGTCTAATGTGTAATGTCATCTCCGGACTTTTAATCTGTTCAATATTGTCACTAAACTTTTGGTATATATTTAATTTAGCCCTTGTACTATATGAAATTGTTTAATGGAATGAAAATATTGAACAATTTCATATACTTTAGGAATTAGACTGAATATGTATAAAAAGTTTAGGGACCGCATTGAATAAAGTAAAAGTTCAGGGATAACAATGCACATTAAAATAAAAGTTCAGAAATCACATTGAACAAATTAAAAGTTCAGGATGATATTTCACATTGGATAAAAGTTCATGGACCATTTGTGCAATTATTAGAGGTGATCAGTCTCGGCTACTTGAAACCTAGAATTTACCTTGTTAGAATTAGTTTTTGGAACTTAGAAACTAACATGTTTACCTTAGAATTGACTCTGAAACCTACCTTGTTTCTTCGGTCCGGTTCCAAAGTCCACTCGAAAACCTATTTTTCTTTTGTTCCTTTTTATGGTTTCATTTGTTATAGCAAAACAATATGAGCAACATAACGGTTCAAAATAAAAGATTAACAGCAGAAATCCCTATCCGCCAAAAGCAACAATCCATAAGATGAATACATAGTCACGTATAATTATAAACGATAAAAAATTCAAACACGTAACATAAAACATAAATTATAAAACTCCATTCCTCATTCATCCATAACAATAGTGCTCCAATTTCTAACTACCTGAAAATAAAACAAACAACATAGTTAATCGTGTAACAATAGTTTAAATTAAATTAGTATTAAAAACTAAAATAATTAATAGAAATTCTCACCACATACATTCATTTTACTTCAACACGTGAACTCTATTTAGCAATGACAATGTCCTCAGCAAAACAATCCAAATCAAAAAACCAAAGAAGAAACTAAATACATGATGAATTAATATTTAGTACGATATTGACTCTACTGAAAATAAATTAAACATGATGAAGTTATGAGCATAGTTGGCATACTTTTTTAAACACGGTGCTCCAAGAGTGTTAATAAGACCAAATACACACGCTGAGTCGCAATTCAACAGGGGGAAAGGCATCGTTAAGTTTTTGTCAAACATCTCCAAAGCCAACCGAACATCCAAAAGGAACAAACCATGAATTTTGAGCTCAAAAAATCTTATACCTGGACTCAACCTATTGGGGCGGGGCGATGGCGTTCTAATCCGCACATGGTGGGGGCAACTGGTGCTCGCCGGGCACCGCATCTCGCAATCTGACAAGCTCGCTCACAAAGGAGGAACGAGACTCACCTTGTTTCCAATGAAGAATCGGCATGCTAGGTACATTGACGGCAAAGATAGGCCGTAAGTCAGAGTCGACGAGCCGCAAAAGAAAGAGTGAGGCGGAACTAGGGTTGCTATGGATAAAGAGAGAAAGAGACAGAGAGGGAGGCAACAACTAGAGAGATGAAGCTTCGTCGCTTCAGGCTGGGTTGCTGCGGGTGCGGGTGGAAGTGGGAGACTAAGAGAGGACCAACCATGGTGCCGAAGGGTTCATATGGCGAGAGAGGGCGACCGCGCCGCGCGAACGAAGAAGAAAAAATAGAGTATGAGAAGCACGGAAGAAAGCCGAGGTTTGAAGAAAATGATGTCAAGAGAAAAGCTATGGTATTCCAAATTCAGTACGATTCCCAGGTAGTTCGATATGGTCTGGTTCTCGAGTAGAACTAGTCCGATTGCACAGGGTTAGTAAGGGTGCGCATGGAATGCATTCCGGAATATAAAGTTGTTCGGAATGCATTCCGAAACGAAATAGCGTTTGTTAAAAAATTTCGAATGCGTTCTGGAGCGATTTTTGCGTTCCGGAATAAAAATGCGTTTGTTAAAAATACTTGATTCCAGAATGCGTTCTTGATTCCGAATGCATTTTTGATTCGGAATGAGTTTTTGGCAAGAAAAGAGAAGCTACTTTTTGTAGCTTCTGATTCGGAATGCATTCTCTCATTTTCTCACAATTTTTTTTTTCGAAAATGCATAAAATTGAAAAATTCTAGAAAAATTCATAAAAATTTCCAGAAAATAAAAAAAAGTCAGATTTGGGAAAATATGAAATTTGGTGAATTTTTTTTTAAAAAAAAAAAATCAAAATTTCAAAACTTCATAGAATAATTAAAACACATGTGCCACCCACTTTGAGTGAAATTTAAATTTTTGAGGTGAAAAAAATCAAAAATTTCAAAACTTCACAAAATGGCTTAAAATACCGTGGTAGCACCTCTTTGAGTGAAATTTAAATTTTTGAGGTGCCAAAAAAAAGAAAAATAATAAAAATAAAAATTTTCAAAACTTCACAAAATGGCTTAAAATACTGTGCCACCCACTTTGAGTGAAATTTAAATTTTTGAGGTGCCCAAAAAATAAATAAAAAATAAAAAATTTCAAAACTTCACGAATGGCTTAGAATATCCGTAGCCACCTACTTTGAGTAAAATTTAAATTTTTTGAGGTGCCCAAAAAAAAAAAAAAAAAAAAATTCAAAACTTCACAAAATGGTTTAGAATACATGTGGCCACCCACTTTGAGTGAAATTTAAATTTTTTAGGTGCCCAAAAATTTTTTAAAAAAAATCAAAAGTTTCAAAACTTTACAGAATGGCTTATAATACATGTGGCCACCCACTTTGAGTAAAATTTAAATTTTTTTAGGTGCAAAAAAATCAACAAATCAAAATAGATTTACGTTCAAATCACTTTACGGAAGCAGAATTAGTCATGTTTTACCAAACGTTTCTCCTCCGAAATCAATTCACTCGCAAGAATTTGATTTCTGGAGCAGAATGGTTACCATTCGCACCCTAATTATCCTAATATTTATTGCTTTTTCGTTGCCAGATTTGGTTTTACAGATGGTAAAAGAGAAGAACTTAGTGGAGGATGTGGTAAAAGGTGAGATTTCCGATGCGATGTCGATTGAGGAGATCAGCGAGGATGACTTCAACGAGCAGGTTGTGAAGGAGACAAAGGAGGTCTCGACTAGGGTTTGGATGATGCGGGATTTGTACATGTAATTGTTAAGCGAGGTTGTCATGATGGAAGTTGATGCGGCAATGGCGAATGGCAAGGGATGAGAAGAAGGGCATCGGTGATTCGGTGAAGGAAGTGGAGAAGAAGTCGCGATTGACGACAGTGGGGACGAAGGGGATGTGAAGTTTGGTGGCAATGAAAAGGAGGAAGGATAGCTTGAGGAAGGTGAAATCTATTTGGACTCGGAGGTGGTAGATAAAAGTTGATGGAGAAGGTCGAGAGGCAAGTTTGAGTGCCGAGTCTGTCGTAATGGCGAGTGTGAGATGGAATTGGGAGAGGAGGAAGTGGAGAGGCGGCTGCACTTTACTCAGATCGCATAGTAAAATGGCAAAACAAGACTAATGAAATGATGGACCACCAATGGTAGTGTGAGAACTTGTTGATATCAGGCTTCCCTTTGTTTTAGTTTACAGAAGCGATGTATGAATCACACACTGTCACCTTCTTCGCGTTCATCACCGCAAATATTTCAGAGAAACCGGAGAACTAGCTTTACCGATTTCACTTCCTCCTCTACCAATTCCATCTCACGCTCGCCATTGTGATAGACTCGGCAGTCAAACTTGTCTCTCTCCCTTCTGCATCAACCTTAGCTACCACCTCCGAGTCCAAATCGATATCACCCTCCTCAAGCTCTCCTTCCTCTTTCTCATC